ACCACCCGAGTCAGACCCCGCGTGGTTCGATTGGCCTGACTTTCCGGTTGGTCCCACGGCCGCCACATGACAGGCCCTCACAGCCAGCTTTTCCAGCCGCAGATTCAACGGGGGCGCGGGCGGCGGCGCCGGCGGGGCGCCACTGACCCCGCACCGAGCGGAGAGCCGTACGTAGTCCGCCAGCTTGACGTCGACCGGCCGGCCTGCTGGCGCTGGGAACGGCGCCGGCAGCGACCACACCAGACGTTCTCCGACTGAGATCGCGGTAGATGATGTGCTGTGGTGCAGGTACTCCAGCGCCTTGGCCACCTGCGGGCCGTGGGGGAGGGGGGGGACGTCCGGGCGTCACAGATCGGGAAGGCAGCGTCGTCGGAGGTACGGCGGCCAATGATCGAGCCCATTACAAGAGGCACGACCAGCCGCAAATGATTTTATCGCATTTGCGAGCTTATGCACAACCCCACTAAATAGATACCGGATTAAAAAACTCACTCACTCATCACTTTCTCACGCAGAGGTTAAGCAGCAAGTAAGAACTGTCCACAGTCGAAACTGATATTCCCCTGCAGACGATGATCAGAAGAGAGAACCTGAGCCAATCCGGCCACGTCTGACCGGAGCACCGACCTGCAGCAGGATCGTCTGCCGGGCGAGGGGAGGCAGCCGGGCGCCCGAGCGGCGGGTACTGGGCCAGCGTGGCGTCCAGCGCGCCCAGCGGAGCCAGCTCCAGCAACAGAGACAGGGGCTGGGCACAAAGCCCACAGCGGCACTGCCCGATACACGGACGCTCAGTCAGACGTCGAACACAGTCCGCGGAGAGCCAAAAAACGCCTGCTGGGCCTTCGGTCAGTGCATCACCTCCGGCCGCCGCCGTCCGACCCGTCCGCCGGACGCCGCCAGCGTCGACTCACCGATGTAGGGGTTGCCGCAGCGTGACCAGGATGTTGAGCTCCTGACGGCGGTGCAGTAAGCCTTGCAGGCGTACTGCAGCGGGTCCCGCCCACTTGCTCTGCGCCGCCTGCGGTGCGGGCAGGCGGCGGTTGAGGCGACCCGAAACCGGACAGCGCCCCGCTACACACGACCGCGTCTGTGTGCGGACCGCCGGCAAGGCGGCCCGACCAGTTCGGAGCAGCGAGGCTTTCCCAGCGCCCGGGCCACCGCCGGATCCGCGTCACACTCGCCGCGCGCTGGCGGGTCCACTCAGCGCGGTCCGGCGCCGCGCGCCCGCTCAACTTGTAGGCGGCCAGCGCCGAGGAGCGCGCGTCGTCACAGGGTCGCTCGGCTGCAGATCTTCACGCCACGTCCATCATCCTGCCGGCAGTGCTGTGGTCAGACGCTGGCGCAGGCTCACGGCTCAGTGGGACCATCTCAAACTGTCCACACGCTGACGTAACCCCTCTAAATCTGAGAGTCCGAGTGACAAGCAAAGTGAAGACCTACGTGCTGCTAAGGCAGTTTTTCAACCAGCATCTGAGCCCAAAAGTTTAAGTGGTCACTGGATCAGCCGGCCCACTCTTCTGTGACTATGAGATACTCCATAAGATACTTACGTTTGACATTTTTACCATTTTGTTTTAAAGATTTGGTCCGAGCTATTTTATTGAACACAGCTATAGAATCAGAGCCGACGCTAAACAGCGCTTGCTGTGTCAGCCCTGACCTCACTATTCTATCGTGACCAGGTCGCTATGCTCGGCGTGGCCCGCCTTACCCAGCGACGTCACCTCAACTCTAACGCGGGTCGCTGTGCCACCGGCCAGCAGGCCACCCTAGTCGGAAACACATAGCGAGCGCTTACAACACGAGCCCCTCCAGCCACGGGCGGTCAAATCGAAAGATAGGCGTTCCAACGAGCCGAGCTATTGAACCCTTCATTCACACAAATAACATCAGCATCGCCACTTCCGCTTGCATCGCGCACATGAGCGGCGGGCGGTCCGGCGCGGACGCAGGCGGGACGTGCCGGCCCGCGGGGAGGGCGGGGGAGGCCGGGGGAGGGGGGCTGACCTGCCGTCGTGGCGGCTGCGGCACGAGGCGCGGAACACGAAGCCGAACGCGCCGCGGCCCAGCATCGGGCCGCGCTGGATGCTCTCCGGCCGCACCAGGCGCCGCTCGCCCACGTCCAGGAACACCTGCACGGGGGCACAGCGACGGGTCACTCGGCTACTTGGTCACTTGGTCACTTGGTCACTCAGCCACGCGCACATGTCAAGGGGGGGGAGCAGACGACGGGCGCTTGACTAGATGCAGGAACTCCTGGCAAGGGGGCAGGTGGCGGGCAGCCGTCGGCGCCTAAAAACATCTGGGCAGGGGCACAGCTACCGAGCACAGACGATCAGGTCAAGAAACGGCACACTGAGGTACGGATTGCGGTCACTCGCCAGCTCCAGAAACAAACGACAGATGGACGGGCGGCGACCACGCCGACTGATCATCGTGCCAAAACAGAACGCTAACCGTACAGGTGAACACTCGGCGCGAGTCACACAGGCGCGACGGGGACGAGCAGGGGACCAGGAGCTGACGTCACACAGGGCACCAGCCGGCCGTCTCACAGCCGCGCAGGACACTGAAGGGGACAGCGGGGGACTGCGGCCAGCTGAGCGTGCCCCTCCCCGGCACCCACCGTGTCGGGCGCCACCTGGGCCAGCAGCAGCGGCCCGTGCGCCGGACACTGCACGTGCCGGCTGCTGTAGCTGACCAGGATGCACTCCTCCACCAGGAAGGCGTACACGGTGGGCGGCCGCGGCGGCGAGGGCGGCCGCGGCGGCGGCGGCGGCGGCGCCGGCTCCGGGCGGCCCTGGGCCGACGGGATTGCGGCTGGAGGGCGCGCTGTCCGGCCCCACCCCGCTGTCGCCGTCCGAGTGCTCGGACGCGTCGCCACCGCCCCGCTGGCGCACCACCTCCGGCAGCCAGTCGTCCTGCGGCGGCCGACGGCTGTCACAGGAGCGACACTCGACCGGCCAACGGCGGACCGTGTCACGTGACGCGACAGGGCACAGGCAGCGAACGGTGGACTGTGTCACGTGATGCGACACGGCACAGGCAGCGAACGGTGGACTGTGTCACGTGATGCGCCAGGGCACAGGCAGCGGACGGCGGGCTGTGTCACGTGACGCGGCAGGGTGAAGGCAGCGGACGGCAGACTGTGTCACGTGACACAGCTGGGTACAAGCGGCCGTCCCCGGATCACAGCCAACAGCCGGTCATAACCAGCTCTCTTTCAGCATACTGTCCGCATTTATCGACATGTTTTCCAACGTCACGGCCCTCATAAAAAGTCAGTGAAGCCACCAAACCAGTGAAGCCAGTGCAGCCAGTAAAGCCAATGAGGCTAGCGAGGCCCGAGCAGCAGTGCGCGTCGCCACGTCGGGGCTGCCAGGCCGTCGAAGGCCCAGCTCCGAGCCGCCGCCCTAGTACCTGGTCAGCGGGTAGAGTCGGCGAGGGGGGCGGCGAGGGCGGCGGCGGCGGCGGCGGCGAGGGCGGCGGCTCCATCCCATCGGCGTCGTCAGCGGCGGCCGGCAGGCAGGCCGGGCACGGCAGCAGCCGCGTCACCAGCAGCCGACCCTCCGACGTGTGTACGAACCGCGTGCCTGCCGGGACACGTCAGTAACGTCATCGGTGACTGCTGGGATAGGCCAGTGACGCCGCCAGTGGCTGTCGGGACACGCCAATGACGTCACCATACCAGTGACGTCACCGGTGGCTGTCAGACGAACCACGGATGCCGCTCCACTCGGCGGCGCCGCGAGCGTCACACGGTTACCGCTCCCGCAGTTTTCCGACTGCACCGAGCCCAGACCGGCCCAGACCTCATGCCCAGCAGGCTTGGACAATCAAAACCGCAGCAAGGTATCAACACAGACAGAGCGCTGCACACACGCAAACAAACCGCTGTAGCGGTCAACGGGGCTGGACATATCAACGAGAGCTGTTCGATCTTATTGTATAGCATAAGGCCAAGGATAGATTCAAACACCAACGCACAATAGGCTTGCGCATTGCCAGAATTGCTTTTCGCTTCAGATGGCGGCACCATAACGTTTTAGTCCATACATCGGCGCCATGGTATACCAGCATGTGGTGCAGCTTCCCATAGACCATATGTTAAGCCCACATCAGTTTGTAGACATGCTGCAGCGTACAGGGGGGGGGGGGGGGGGAGCAGTTGCCTAAACGAAAAGACACTGTATCTCTCTATACCCTTTATTCAGTGATGTGTCAGTAGGCCCATCCTCTTCACCAGACGGACGGCTGACCTCGAGAGATGGGTCCGTTGGAGCGGCCCCGAAACACACCCCGCTGACTATCCGGGTCATTTGATGGGGCAATTTAGATACCCGTGTACGCCTGGCCCACAAGAGCGGTGACACAGCAGAAGTCCAGCCGAGGAGGAGCACGGTGTCGTGGCTACACGCTGGCGCATCAGATGCAGGGCGCCGAGGGCTGACGGCACTGACCGAGCGCGGGGTACCAGTCCTCCAGCAGGGTGTCAATGTGGTCGACGGCCATCGCCAGCAGCTTGGAGGCGCACTCCGGGTTGGGCTCCAGCACCACCGACTGAATGCCTGCCGACGGGCCCGCCGTCACCGACTCGCCACTGACCAGCGCGTGCAGGGCTGCTCTAGCGCGCACCACTTCCACTACCGGTCGGTTATGACGTCACTCTGACAGGCTTGGCTAGCCCAAGGCTTCAATTGGCCTAAAATGGGGTTCATGGCCATGATCAAACCGTGAACCTCCGGCAGCCCGAAGACCCAATGTACCACGCTTGAACAGAACATGGTGTCGGAAACCAAACCTGGCTCCCAGATATCGAATGTGAGAGGCCAGTTTGGTGCGAACTGGGATGATCAACACCTGTATCGCCCCGCAGTGGAGCTATGTGTAACATTAGAATAAAAATAATAAAAATATGAAGTATAAAATCAGCATGCACTAACAGAGGCCGGTTTCGGAAACCAAAATAAGCAATCAGAGATTGTTTCTCAGTTCTTTTGCTCCGGCCTACGGTGATGAAAGCCTGTTTCTGAGCACTAAACATGCTTAACGTTTCGCGAAGTTAATGCCAGACCCAGATTCCTTACGTCATTCGCCGCGCAGTTGCAACGAAAATGTGGTGGCGTTTCATATCGGCCCCAAGGAAATAGCATGTACTGAATGGCAACTCCTGCTGTCCAACATTTACTTCAGATGAGCAGAACGCCCAGTCTGAGCTTCTACAGCAGCACGCTCCCGAAGGGAATCCCACCACCTCTGAAGCATTGGACAAGGGGAGCATGGCACGCTCACTCCGCGGTGTCTCGCCCCCCCCCCCCCCCCCCTCTGAGGCTGCGTGCGGGCGGCCTACCGAAGGCGGCCGGGTCATCCGCCTGCGGTAGCGATCGTCGGATGACAATGGTCTCGTTGGGTAGCGTCACCTCCAACACGGCCGCGCTCGAGGTCAGCACCTCCTGCCACTGTCCCTCCTGACAGGCCAGCAGTCTGGGGACACGGAGCGAGCGGTGTCAGAGGTGACCTCGAGGTCAGCACTTCACAGGGACACAGGACGATGGTTCAGGCCAACTTCAGACCGGCCAGTTCCTCAGACCGTTCATACTCTAAGAGACGTGTGGGTGTCTCCTGCCTGACGACTGGTTGCTGACAACGCAATAGTCGCCATAGGCTTGAACACGCTCCAAAGAGGCACACAGATGCCACAGCAACGCAATCAGACCACACGAATGCAAAAATAGAAATATATAACAACGCTGTACCTCGGCGCACTGGTAACGCATGACAAACAGTGTATCGCCCCCTTGCTGAACGATCGGTGTAACATTCCCTGGCAGCAGCCGCGCGGCCGGCACAGCGCCGGGCGGCCGCCGGGCGGGTCGCGGCGCCGGTACCTCATCTTCCTGTAGTCGGGCGAGTAGCGCAGGTATCCGAGCAGCTCGCGGATGCGGATGAGCGTGGTGTTGGCGTACTGGAGCTCGATGCCCGTCTGCCAGCAGCGCCACTCGGCCGGCCCGGCCAGCACCGACGACAGCACGGCGTCCTGCTGCACCTGGCCGGCACGCACCGCTCGCCGTGAAGACCAGCCGCGACTGCCGGCCCGCGCACGCCACACACCAGACCAACCGCGGCAGCCGGCCCGCACATGCCACACCCAGACCAACCGCGGCGGCCGGCCCGCACACGCCACACACCAGACCAGCTGCGGCGGCCGGCACGCACACGCCACACACCAGACCAACCGTGGTGGCTGGTCCGCACACACCACACACCAGATCAGCCGCGGTGGCTGGTCGCACACGCCACACACCAGACCAGCTGTAGCGGCCGGCCCGCACACGCCACACACCAGACCAGCTGCGGCGGCCGACCCGCACACGCCACACACCAGACCAGCTGCGGCGGCTGGCCCGCACACGCCACACACCAGACCAGCTGCGGCGGCCGGTCCGCACACGCCACACACCAGACCAGCCGCGGCGGCGGGCCCGCACGCGCACACACCAGACCAGCCGCGGCGGCCGGTCCGCACACACCACACACCAGATCAGCCGCGGTGGCTGGTCCGCACACGCCACACACCACCTCGCCCAGCGCTCTGGGCCGACAGACAACACGGCGACAGCACGCCAGGTGTAGAGAAGCTGCACCTTTGTACACCCGAGGATATGGAGCCCGCAAAAATGCAGTAACAAAGGTTGAATAGTGTACAAACTGCAAGACGTATCTTAGCACAAGTAATCTATGCAATCAGATTTCCGTTTCAAATGTTTCAAATCCAAAGGATGACTTCAATCAATTGAGATCTGATCTGACCAATTTTACATGAGGCACCATGCCACGAATTTAAAACGAGGCGACGACAGCTCTTCGTCCTGTAGGCCATTCAAGTGACATTAAGATCGCAGTTCATGTGCTGCACGAGCAAATACTGAGTGGGTCGGCGCTTACACCCGCCCTCCCCCTCCCCCCTCCCCAATTCTTTCATCGCCTCTTCCACCGCCAGCCGGAGGCGCCGCCCCGCCCCGCCTCACTCTTACGGTACCCCTACCGTCCGCAGCTCACCTGTCGCGGCACCAGGAAGAAGGCCCGGATGACGTCCACGATGACGTCGTCGGCCAGCAGGCGGGTGAGCAGGCGCGACCAGAAGCCGCTCGGGAAGTAGGTCATGATGAGGAGGCGGCGGACGGCGGCTTGGGGCACCGCTCGCCGGCTCACCGTACACTGGCCATCGGACCCTGTGGGCGCCGGCGACGGCCGCTCAGTGCAGCCGCACTGCCAGTGTGTCCGGACACCGCAGACGCAAGCTGATAGCATGCCCGGACACCACAGATGCCCGCTGCTGGTGTGTCCGGATACCGCAGACGCCCCCTGCTGGTGTGGCCGGACACCGCAAACGCCCGCTGCCGGCGTGTCCGGACACCGCAAACGCCCGCTGCTGGTGTGTCCGGACACCGCAGACGCCCGCTGCCGGCGTGTCCGGACACCGCAAACGCCCGCTGCTGGTGTGTCCGGATACCGCAGACGCCCCCTGCTGGTGTGTCTGGACAACGTAGACGCCCGCTGCTTGGGTATTTATGTCCATGTGATGGGTTGCGAACCACTCACGCAGTGCGGACGTCAGAGCATCGAACCCATCCCACGTGTATCGCGGCTTGGCAAATTCGGTATCGACGTCGAGACAGCCAACCCCAGACTGTGGCAGCATTCATCTGACTCAAAGTGCGTGCGTCGCGACCCCACAAAGCGGGCGTGGGCGCCGGACCCGAGAGCCCTGCGTCTGTTGGCGGGTGCGGGGCCGGACGTCGGCGTGGATAGCAGTTCAGTGCGGTCGGACGGACCGGCGGTACCTGGCGCCGGCTGGCCGTCGTCCGCGGAGCCGGAGCCGGAGCCGGCGGGGACGGAGCCGCCGGAGCCGCTGGGACCGCCGGGGCCGCCGGAGCCACCGCCGGAGCCGCTGGACCCCGCCACCGGCGGCGCTGCGGCCGACTTCTTCCGCAGGCCCCAGGCGCGGGACCGCACGGGGATCTGTGCAGTCGGGAGGGAAGGCACGTCACGGCCGCGGGCGGCCGCTGGCGGCAGCAGGGGCACGGCTCCGCGCGGTCAGCTGATGACACACTCTCGGAGCACGACAATGGAGACAAGTGTACCGCTTCCACGACGTAGTATCCCCTCACTCACATAGAACACGCAGTCACACCGGAGTCACAACAAAATCAGAACCGGTGGGTGAATACAACAGCACGCCGATGCAATGCCTACACGTGTCACGTAAATGGCATTTCACCCACAACAAACACGAGCAGAGCAGACGCCTAGCGCGCCCAGATCTACCGGCAGCATACTCCGTCGGGGCCAGAGGGTCGTGCCGGGAGTACGGCTGGTGTCGGCCGCCGCGTCGCTGGCGGCGTGACGGGTCGCGTTGTTAGCGGCGCGGCGTGCTCAACGGTGTTACGCGGTCGGCCGCGCCCCGGCTGGCGGCCGCCGGCCGCGGGCCGACCTCTGACCTTTACCCTGACATCCATGCCGGGCACGCCGCCACGCAGCATCTCCTCGGAGGGTAGCAGGCTGGGGATAAGCAGCGTGCGACCGTCCCACGTCACCGCCACCTCGAACTTGTCCAGCAGCGAGATCATGTACGACTTGGCGTCGGCCGGCGCGCACGTGGACGACTTGAACACCAGGGAGACGTCCTCCAACCGCATCACGCCTGCGGAAGTGCGGCAGGGCGCTGCAGGACGTCTCGGGCGGCGTCGGCGGCGACGGAGGCGCACGTGCGGGGATAGCCCGCGCGCACACGGCTCCGTCAAACCGCCGCACAATGCGCCCGGTCAGAACAGCTGCACGCGCCGGCACGCTGGCGCTCAGGCCCGACACGTCAACAGGGCATAGCTGTACTTCTCACAAACACGACACAAATGACCTATTCGCCGGACTTCTCAACAAAAGCATCGTAACGAAGCATAGCGGACGGCTCACGCACAAGGACACGGCGCGATCCATGCGCGCTTGTGATCCGCACACGACAGCGTGGTGCCATCCGCACACACGCGTCCTACGCCCGCCGCCGGCACCGGCGGGGCGCGTACCGTTTCTGGCGAACGGGTTGATCTCGCGCACAGTGACGACGTGGGCGAGCATGTCGCACAGCCACTGCGGGTCCAGGAAGTACAGGTCCTTCAGCGTCGCGTCGTCGTAGTGCAGCACCACACCTGCCACGGAGGGGCGGTCAGCGGGCGTGATCGGAGCCGAGGGGCTGGCATGCGTGACATCACCAGACCACGCCCACACCCACAGCTAGTCGAAAGGCATCAGGCTTGGGCAGGGACGGCATTTTACGACCTTTTCATGGTGACTCGTTGCGTACCTGTATATTGCTTTTAGTTTAACCCGACGGTTTGTCGCACCATATGACATGCTGCGTGGAACTCCAAATAGCGCATGTACCAAAGAGCAGCACACAGCAAGCCGGGGTGCAGAATGACTAACGGAAAATCAAAGCCCAGTATTGACACCGCTATGCTGATCACTAGGGGTTCCACCTCTGGCCGAGCCGGAGGACGCGGCGCGGCGTCCGTACCGTTCTCGTGCAGGAACGCCGTCGCCTGGTTCAGCTCGGCCGTGTCCCGGAAGCGCAGGTCGAACCGGCTGGCCATCTCGCGGATCACCAGGGCGCGGTACTGCTCGCCCCTCAGCACCGGGTCACGACCTGGGGTCAGCGGCACGTCAGCCGCACGGACCGGTGACCCGGGCACCGCAGCGCGACCGAGGTCAGCAGCCACCCGTCCGTCCCGCCCGCCGCCCGGTGACGACGGCACAGCGTCCTCACCCGAGGTCAGCCTACAGGGCCTCAGGCGCGTCTGCCACCGGGGCTGAGGTCACGGCTGAGCCGGCGCCGGGGGTCGGCGGCCCTGCCGGCGCGGCGCGCGTCCTCACCCTGGAAGTGACGCTCGGTCGCCAGGTAGGAGATGACGTCCTCCAGGGCTAGGTAGGTGGCCGGGATGCGCTGGTCCAGCAGCCGCTCCTTGCTCCCTGGGCCGACACAAAACATCTCGCATTGGTGCACGCCCTTAACATGTGGCTCAGTTTGGCAACCAGCTTATGCCTTACGTATGTAGTTAAGCACCTCAATTGGTGCACTCCTTAAGCATGTAGTTAAGTTCAGCAACTAATTATATAATTCATATGTTGCACACATGCGACTTGGTGCTCATGTTATTGGCATCATGCCTGTCCATTCTCGTTTACATGCTTTAGACGAGTTCTCGCCTTTAAGCACAACACCAAGGAGAGCGTGTAGAACACGCTCCGAGCGCAGTAGCGTGGGAGCCAGAAGCCGTCTTCAGTTGGGAAGCCCCGAACACCGATCAACCACAATTCCGAACGAAGCCACAAAAGTAACGCAAAACTTCCGCGTTGGCAGACGGCCTATTCCACTAACAAACAGGCCGGCTGCGGTCACGTCTCAGTGACGACAAAGGCGTATGGTTCTAAGCCGCATAAATACACCGGTTATCAGCCGCGCCAGAGACGCGAAGCTCCCTCTGCAGCTGTCCTCGACGGTAACGCCCCAAGAGGCGCTGCATCCCCTGCGTACCGGGCGACTTCAGGCTGTAGACGGTGTCGTAGATGAGGTTGCAGAGCAGGCGGATGTTGTGGCGGGTCTTGCAGCTGACCTCGATGGTGTCCAGCACGCGCGGCAGGCCACATTTGTCGGCGTCCACCAGGCTGATGAACCTGCCGTACCACCCACAGATGCCATCAGCACCGGACAACGGCAACGGAGCATGGGATCAGAGATGGCGCCACCCACAGCTGGCCAGCAGCACCGGGCAACGGCAAACGGATTAAGTCAAGACAGGCAGCTCCTCAACGAATCAGCAACACTGAGACAGGTTCAGGGCTTGTCATGTGCAAATCGGATAAATGGCTCATTTTAATGCATTCGAATCAAGCAACACTCACAGAAAATGTAGAAATCAGCTAACGCCAGAGGCAACAGAACTGAAAAGCCCCGGCACCAGGGGCTTTTCCGGCACCGGCACCCATCGTGTTGCAATGACTAAAGCCAGCTGCCAACCAGCTGATTCTTGCAAGAGAAATGACGCCACCCAGCGTTGGAATATACCATTGGACTGAGCACCAGCATTTCAAAACACACGTCTTACGGCGCGTCTGAATGCAGGACGGCCGTGACGTCACAGTATGATCATAACGGGGAGGGGAGGGGGGCACCACAGCCGGACGTGACGGCCGTCACGCACCGGTCGCGGATGAGCCGCTGCAGGTCCTCGCAGTAGTTGGCTGGGTACTTGTCCCGGATCAGGTCGTAGTGCGTGCCCACGATGATGACAGGCGAGTTGGGTGCGCGCGCCTGGCAAACAGACGGAGCGCACCGGTCAGAGACGGCCACAGCTGCCACCGGCGAGAACACGTAGCACAGAGCATCACCGCCACGAGCGCGGCACGGCAACACATTCATCATTCTATTTTTCAAGCATCCCACCTATTGCTGAACGTGTGTCATTGGGGCTTTACGAAGCACTCAGCCGCTGAGGCTATATGGCGTTGCCTGCCTCTCACCCTGACACGAAGGGCGGGCACCGCAGGGAGTCGAACCCCGTACTTCTGGTTTCCCAGACGCGTAGTGGTTAACGCAGACGCGTTTACCACTACACAACCGGCACCCCCTCTCGCTGAGCCGCGCGCTCCCCCAGACGAGCTCGTGCCGACTCCTAGCTCCGTCCACAAACTGATCACCATATGGATGAACGAAGCCCTCGGACACCGCAATGAAGCACCGCGGGTCGCATAGGCCGCGGGGGTGTGCTCGCGTGGTTCGCGGTCCGGCGCGTTCTCGGCCGGCACGCCGCTCCGGGCCGGACGGCCGCTGCGCCGGTGCGGTGGCCAACGCACCTGTATGTTGACGAGCCACTGCTGGATGTTGTTGACGCCCTTCTGACCATCGGGGATGCGCCATACCACCAGGTACAGGCTGCGCCGCGACAGGAAGTACTGGTGCGTGGCGTAGTACTCCCGCTGGCCGCCAAAGTCCCACGTCCTGCCGACACGGGCGCACACTCTGAGCCGCGGCCGACTGGCTGGCGCAGATGGCGGCGAGTGTGGTGCAGGTGCTCACCGTAAGTGGACGCCATGATAGGACGCCGGAATGAATGACGCCTCGGAATTTCGCCACGGAATGGCGACGGTGGGCCTTCGGAGGTGGCAAATAGTTCTGCCGCGTAGTCAGAGCGTCACGCTACCCGCTGGCTTTCCTTCGTGACGATGTGAGACTGACATCCGCCCTGCCTCACGTACGGAATCCTCAGTACTGATCCGAGCCACAGCAAGCAGTCTCCGACGCAAGCAGGTCAAACCAGGAGTCTCAGGAAATGAGGCTCGAAACAACGCCCGGTTTCAGAAACTGGCACTAAGACGGAGCGCAGACACATCGTCCCACACTGACCGCAATAGGACAGATCGGCCAAAGCCCGTCAGCAGACGAGCGTGATCAAGCCGGCAGCGAGCGTGACCCTACCCTGGCGAGCCACCTCCATCTCCATGTACGCCGTGGAGCACCATCTCCATCGCCATGCACGCCATGGAGCGTGCCCAAGTCGGGCGCCGTGCGAGGTCTCACCGGAACGTGACGGGTCCGTGCGAGCTGTGGCCGCGCACCCTCTTCTCGTACACCCAGTCCCCGATGTCGACACCCACTGTGCTCAGCGTCGTGCCCGTGGCCGTCTTCAGGTTCATGTTCTTGTTGCCCATGCGCTTCGCCCAGTGCTGAAGCGAAGCCAAGGTGGTGTCATTAGATGCGACGGAGAAGAAGCAGAAATGGCAACATTGTGAATGGTGCATTTTAACCCACCTACAGTCCAGCAAAAGTAATTCGCTTGCATACACATTTGAGAGTAACACTGAAACACCCAAAGTCCTGAAGCGTTTCGTTCCTTCATAGGGTAGCCTGCGCTCCCGCATGTTGCAGGTACGCAAACATCCTGCACACTATACCGACACGCATGGAACATCCACATCGATGATTTCAACAGGTACACCATGGAGCCAAAAAATAAGAGCAAGCCTTAAAAGGCAAGAGTGCAAACCAAACGATAAGAGACATGAAGCACTCAGCCCACGGCATGGGCCCTCAACACAGGAAACCGTCAGATAACAACCCGGGGCGCACCTCGGGCGGCCGCTTCTTGTAGGACCCGGTGCCCTCGGCCCGCAGCTGCTCCAGCAACGACGTCTTGCCGATGCCCTGCACGCCGACGATCATCAGCTTCATCCGGGCGTAGAGCCGGGCGTCCTCCAGAACCGACTGCAACGGCAGCCAGAGCGGTGCAGTGGTCTGAGGCGTCGTCTCATGATCCCGAAGCTAACGTTTGTTCGGCGCGGGACGCTCCAAACGACGTTTTTCAGCCCTCCACCAACGATTGAGCAGGGTGGAATACTAGTCGTTGGGGCATTTTCGGCATTGAGCAACGGCTTATCATCTCATCACTATAATTGGGTACACTACCAACAGTCGTTTATGTCTATCGACGCGTCAAGCTGTTGATGAAGCTCGCGTCGTCGCCCCTTAACATGTCACCGCCGGCGCGCTGACCTTCAGGTAGCCGACGACGTCCATGGTCTTGTACTTGTTGGAGTCGATCATGGTCTTGAGCGGCTCCTGGAGCGAGCAGCCGCGCGTGTTCAGGTTCCACAGCCGGTTCAGCAGGCCCATCTGCGGTGGCAGCTCGCAGATCCCTGCCGCAGATGCGAGGCTGGGTCAGGCCGGCCGCCGTACGGCTCCTTCTGCGGCGCGGCACCGCGCGCTCCGGCCGGCCGGCGCCGGCCTCTGGGCCAGCGGTCCCAACAGGCACCCGGTGTCACGTCATCTCCAGACCGTCAGCCTGCTGACAGTACTGCCATCGAGCCCGAGCGTGCTGCGCTACCAGCCTGGCGCGGATCTGGCATGTCGTGCTCACCGGACCAGAATGCTGGCGTAGTATGAGAGGGAGCCGCGAGGCGCTCACAGCTTAACTGCGTGTCGTATAGGCGCTCACTGTTTCAGCGCACGACCTGATCAAACGGTCTAATGGCGTGTTCATACATTTGTACCCACTGGACGCGCAAGACATGTTGACTTCAGAACGTTTTCAGTATAACATGTGACACAAATTTCTCAGAGATACAACCGGTGTATTTGTAGTATTTCACCCGTTAATATTCTGGTCGATCAGCAATTGTAGTAATTGTTACCAAGCGAATTCAGGACGATCTTCGGTAACGGCAGTTTGTTTGAGCAGACAGGTCCCGATAAAAGGCCCGCCCCGCTCGACACGGAACGACCCTGTTTATTTGAGCCTCTGACACGCAGGCCCGGAGACCGGCCCCGCCGAGGTGCCCAGCCTCTGACCGGCGCGTGCCGCGGCGTCGGCGCGCCACGACTCGCCTCCGACGGCGCCCACCGCCAGGCGGAGCGGGCGTAGAGCCGGGGAGTGATGCTCACCCTCGTTGCCGCTGATGTTGAGCACGGACAAGTTGGTGAGCTCGTGGATGTTCGCCGGCACGCTGTGCAGCTGGTTTTTGCTCAGGTCCAGCATCGACAGGTTGGGGAACATGAGGCGGGCGCGCTCGTGGTGGCGCCGACGTCTGCCGGCCCGGCCGACACGCGCCCGGTCACACGCGGTCATCGGGCGGTCATCAGCGGTCATCAGCGGTCATCAGCGGTCACACGCGGTCATCAGGCGGTCATCAGCGGTCATCAGCGGTCATCGAGCGGTCATCAGTAGTCGTCAGCGGTCATCAGCGGTCATCGGGCGGTCATCAGCGGTCATCAGCGGTCATCAGACGGTCATCAGGCGGTCATCGGGCGGTCATCAGCGGTCATCAGCGGTCATCAGCGGTCATCAGCGTCAGCCAGCCTGGTCCGTAGCTCTCCGCCCCGACAGACACGCGGCGGCGACGGCTCCGGCCTGGTTCATTGACCAAAACTCGGCCTGGCAGCGGTACAGTGGCGCACAGCTAGGCCGCTATTACGGAGCGCCACAGCAATAGCCGTCCAAGTGACGGCAGGTCTTCCAAGGGCGCACGTGTCTTTTAAAACATTGCAAGTTCCAATTTATTACTGCACGTCCCGAATAACCAAAAGGAACGTGAATAATAGCAGGGTCGCGATGGCTGTTATCGCATGCATACAACGCAAAACAAGGTCAGCCAGCACACACAATTGCCGTCGTAAATCAGACCACAGAGCGGCCACAGCACTGTGTTGCTTCCGCTCACCGCGGGCGAGGCGCCGTCCATCTCGTGCCGCGGCTGGTTCAGCTGCACCTCAGTCAGCTGATTGTCGGCCAGCACGAGCGTGCGCAGCGCCTCGAAGCGCCGGTGGCGCCGGTGCACGCAGGTGTGTACGGCCGAGCCGGCCGCGTCGGCGCCTGCGCGCATCGGCACACGGGGTTACAGGGGACAGAGGGTGGAGATAGACTGGCGGGAGCGCCGCTGACTGGACGCGGCGCCTCTCGAGGGCGGCGACGAAGCCGACTTGCTGTTCTAGACTCAATGCACGTTACAGACTGACAGAAATGGAGCGGTTGTCCGATATCGCTTTGAGGCGGCTTAAAGTACAGTCACAATCCAAGCCACCCCTGCTGATAAATGAGGAGACGCATGGCGGTCGTCGTGTGCAACAAATGTATCCAGCTGCATTCTCAACAAAATGTTGCTTCACATTCAGAACATTTTTCTAGATGTTATCGATTTACTCCGAAGCGTTTCTTTGGGCGACTTTGGATTCAAATAATTTTCAAGACAAAGGTTGTCACGCGTACCTCGAACCCAACATCCAAGCAGTGCCGCCCCGCTGAGCGGATTGTCTCAGTCCTGCCCTTCCCCAGACAGCACTCCGGAGGTGTTACACGCCACACAACGCCACAGCACGACCGCCCCGGAGGTGAGGCGACCCCGGTGGCCCGCCGCCAGGCTGCCCTCGTCATGACAGTCGGGTCGCACCACGCGCCGCTCCGGGACCTGCACCCGGCCGAATACCGAGCCCGGTATCTTTCTCGTAGACGACTGGGGCGCTTTCACACCAAACCGGCCACAGACTGGGGGTTTCAACAGACACGACCGCGGCGCAGCCGACCGTCCGTACCGCACACGCTGACGATGCACTTGTTGGTGTCGCCGGCGGCGTAGCAGCGGCGCTGGCGGCCGGTGGCCGGCTCGGCGCCGTGCCAGAAGGCGGCCGGCTCGGGCCACGCGCCCACCTGGTTGTGGGAGGCGTCCAGCTGCTTCAGGGTCGCCGGGAAGTCGCTGAACCGACCCTAGGTCAGTCAGGCTGTAATCGGGGGAGTGTCGTGTCAACGCCGGTGCGGCCTCGGTCGGCCACGCAGCGGGACGAGAATGGAGAACGGAGCGGCCCTAAATAGGCGTCAGCATGGTGGTGAGAAGACGCCGAAGTCGTCTGTCCTGCCTCCCCAGATTCGATCTCGACGGGCAGTAAGCGGTTGAGACGAGTTTCCAGAAAACTACACCACGCTTTTGCTGATGTGCTTCTCGGTAAACAATATACATAGCTCATCGCCACATCAATCAAAATAGTCCTCTAACGTTTTCTTATGTAAAAATCCATAATACATCACACCGCCACCACCCTGACCTTCGACCAACTCTTACAACCACCCAAACACCCTGGCCCTGTGGTGGTTAGTAGGGGGCGGGGCGCACAGCCTTGCGCCTCCGACCACAGGTCGCCCCCGGCCGGCGGCGAGCTGGACACCGGCGGACTGACCAGTTGTAGGCCAGGTTGAGGCGGGTCAGGCTGACGGCCAGGAAGGCAGGCCGACTGGCAGCTGGCTTGAAGCGGTTGTGTGACAGGATGAGCGAGTGCAGGCGGGAGCTGGACTGGTCCTGCGCCGTCAGCTGGGACCGAAGGGGCCGGCGTCGGTCACCTCCAGCCGACCCCGCCAGGCCGTGTGGTGGTGCACATCCCGCTTGCCTGTCAGCAGGCACAGGGACAAACAGTCGGTCACCGGTGTTCAGCCATCACCCCCGGCGCGAGCGTCACCATTTGTCATAAGCAGCACTGCCATCATGGAAAGAAACCTAACGCCACTGATGAGGCTCAGCAGCTGGTAACATCGACTGGTCTATTGGTCACGGGCATGCGTCGGCCACGGGCGTGAGTCAGTCATGGACGTGCATCAGCCAGGGGCGTACATCAGCCAGGGACGTGCGTCAGCCACGGATGCGCGTCAGCCATGGATGCGCGTCAGCCATGGATGCGCGTCAGCCACGGACGTGCATCAGTCACGGACGTGCGTCAGTCACGGACGTGCGTCAGTCACGGGCCGCCAGTCGGCGCCAGCTACCGCGCTCGCCGGCCCTGTCGACCGTCACAGGCCGCCTGAGCGAGCCCGGCTCCTGGCTGCGCTGGGTCGCGTGGAGCCAGACGTGATCTCAACTACCCCCTACCCAAGCGTGACGCCGAGTGTGACCTGGCTGAGGTGGATGGTTTGGTTTGAGTGTGACTTGGCTGCGGTGTGGGGTCTGGCTTGGTGAAGGTCCGTTTGAGAGACACCAAGCTGGGTGACCCGTCAGCCAGTCGCAGTCGGCAGCCTCCTCGTACCTGAGCGTGGCGCTGAGCGTGACCTGGCTGCGGTGGAGGGCGCCCGACGGCTCGGCGGCCGGCGGCGCGCTCAGCACCGTCAGGCCCAGCCCGTCCCGGCGCCGGGACTGGGAGCGGTGCCGCTGGCCGGCGGAGGTCGGCTGCGAGGCGACAGGGCGCACGCGTCAGCCGGCCCACGACCGGGCTCACGCTCCACTACGCCCGGGTCAGACAGCACACCACCTCAAGGGCGGCGGACGGCTGGTCAAGTACGGTCGGACCTAACACTTCTTACACTCATTTATGGTGGATCGTTAATGCTGATGCCCGACAAGACAGGCAAGACAGCAAAACAGTCGACCACTTTACCCACAGACGCGAGTCTCACGAGATTACCTCCTATTTAACCCAACGGAGATGTCTGTTTTTGGCATTATAAGGTCTTAAGCTCCAAAACGATGCCGGTTGACAAG